TTTCTTAGTTCATGTTTGTAGTCCATAATGATTGCATTCATCATGAGGGGTCAGTACCGGTGCATAATATATCTTAATTATTTTTATATTTCCCTCCTTTCCTCTCCCTCTCATAGATCTTTATTTCTCAGTTCAGCACAAACATACACCTACTCTGCAAGCACCCCCCACAACAACTAAATCAAGTTTGACCACACAGCAGAACATGTGGTCCATTCTGTTCTTTTCTGTTCTGAGCCACGATGAGCTGTACTATCTTGTTTTCTTTCAGTTACACAAATGCTGGTCCTTGTTCATTGCTGTATTCTCATCTGTAGTTTGAAGAGCATGCCTCTGCGTGCAGCTATGGACTACAAGAATGTCTGGGACATGGGGCTAGTGGGATTGCAATAAAAGAAAGTCAGGGCCACAGGCAGAGCTGGGATGGCCCTTCTGCCTGGGTCCTACTTGCTGGAAAACTCAATATTCCTGGCCCCTTCTCCCTCAGACACTGCAGGTCTAGTGGCAGCTGCCTGCTGGGGCCCATGATGCTTGCCCTATGGGCTGAGGTCCCTGTTCTCTCTTTGGCCCCCAGGGAAGAATGACATCTTTGGAGAACCTCTGAACCTGTACGCGCGACCTGGCAAGTCCAACGGGGATGTACGAGCCCTCACCTACTGTGACCTGCACAAGATCCATCGGGATGACCTGCTGGAGGTGCTGGACATGTACCCTGAGTTCTCAGACCACTTCTGGTCCAGCCTGGAGATCACCTTCAACCTTCGAGATGTGAGTGGAACATCTGAAGCTGACCTCTGTCCCCGGGAGAGCTGCCTGCTCCTCCTCCTGCTGTGAGGCTGCCCCTTCACTGAGTGGCCTTGAAGGTGCTGTTTCTCTGCCTTGGTTTCCCTGCCTGTCAGGTCATACTACAGTCACACCAGGTTGTGAAAGTCCCACATCATGCCTGGTCAAGGGGTAGAAATCAAGGAGGTGGGGGCTGGCATGGGAGTGGGGTAAGATTCCCCAGAGCAGGAGGCCCAGCCCCATTGCTTCTGTGTTAACAAGGGATCAGGGCTGAGGGTGGTGATGGGCCCTGATGCTGTTCTTGGTTCCAGACCAACATGATCCCCGGTTCTCCTGGCAGCACCGAGTTAGAGGGTGGCTTCAACCGTCAACGAAAGCGCAAGCTGTCTTTCCGAAGGCGTACAGAAAAGGGTGAGGTGGGCGAGGGGTGGGCAGGGAGGAGAGAGTGGGCCCAGGCACCTGAACCTTCCTGTCCCTTTCATGGTGCCCACTCCTCACTCCAGCTGTCCAAACAGCCAGCTTTTCTGGCCCCTTTGAGCTGATAGCTACTCCAGGAAGCTGCTTCTCAGCTCCAGGGCAGGTGAAGGGCTATTTGGTCCTCACAGGGCTGGGGTCTTGGTGAGTGCTGCCTTGAGCTGAGGGTAGGGTGGGGTGGATGCAGGACAAAGGAGGGCAAGGGGCTAGCCTCAGGGTATCCCAGGGAGCCCCACTCAGCAATGACACCACGGGTGCCCAGGAATTCCTAGAGTTCTCTGTGTAGTTGGTCAGGAGTGGAGAGAGCTACCCGGGGGACCCCCAGCCTAGACCCCCACCATTCCTCCCCTTTCCTCCCTACCCCCTGAGGCCCAATCTCTTTTCCCCCTACCCCACAGACCCTGAGCAGCCTGGGGAGGTGGCAGCCTTGGGGCCTGGTGGGGCAGGCGCAGGGCCAAGCGGCTGGGGCCCGCCAGGGACAACGTGGGGGGACAGCCCGTCCAGTGGCCCCTCCAGCCCAGAGAGCAGCGAGGATGAGGGCCCGGGCCGCAGCTCCAGCCCCCTGCGCCTGGTGCCCTTCTCCAGCCCGAGGCCCCCTGGGGAGCTGCGGGGCAGGGAGCCCCTGACTGAGGATGGTGACAAGAGCAGCAGCGACACGTGCAACCCCTTGTCTGGTAGGGGCGGGCCTGGCTTTGGGGTGGGGGCAGGGGCAGGATGGCGTAGCCTTTCTCTCCAGCCTCACCCCTGCTTCCCTTGCTGCAGGCGCCTTCTCCGGGGTTTCCAACATATTCAGCTTTTGGGGGGACAGTCGGGGCCGCCAGTACCAGGAGCTCCCTCGATGCCCCGCCCCCACCCCCAGCCTTCTCAACATCCCACTGTCCAGCCCAGGCAGGCGGCCCCGGGGTGATGTGGAGAGCAAGCTGGATGCCCTGCAGAGGCAGCTCAACAGGTAGGGAGAGTGACCCAGGGAGGTAACATGGACTGGGCTATGGGTGGGGGCATAGGAGTTTGCTCTTCCATCTCCTGGCAGTGTCCTGGGATAAAGGGAGTGTGACCCTCTCCTCCACTCCGAATTGAGCCAGGGACTACCCACACCAGGGTGCAGAGGGAGCCTGGGGTTGACCAGCTGCCTGACCCCACTCCCAGTAGGTCCTAGAGTTAGTGCCTGGCATCTCCATTTCTCCGCCCATCTTCCTACTCAGGGACACAAATTTGTCTGCTCTCCTTCTTGCCCCAGGCTGGAGACCCGACTGAGTGCAGACATGGCCACTGTCCTGCAGCTGCTACAGAGACAAATGACACTGGTCCCACCAGCATACAGTGCTGTGACCACCCCAGGACCCGGCCCCTCTTCTGCCTCTCCCTTGCTGCCCATCAGCCCCATCCCCACCCTTACGCTGGACTCGCTTTCTCAGGTGAGTTCTGAGCCCCTCTCCACAGCACCCTGACACCCCAGCCCTGCCTTTTCTGTCCTACCTTTTTTGTTTGCTGTGTCCTCAAACCTATCTGCTACCCTGTCTGCCCCACTCTCCCATTACCCTGTTTCTGCCCTCCTGTCACCCAGGAGCAAGGATGAAGGGGGCCACTGGGACTGGAAACTGGCAGCAGAGTGGTCTGGGCTCCCCTGGCATTACCTGCAGGTCCAGATCTGGTGCAGCCTGAGCCTGGGGCTGAGGTGGGGAGTGGCCCCTGGTTGCTGCTCTGCTCTTACTCCCTGTCCATCTTGGCCCTCTGCTCTAACTATGTCACAGAGCTAACATAGCCTGGGGGGCAGCACTTCCTGGTCCTGCTGGTGGTGGGTCTTAGATGTCCTTTGCCCTCTCCTAAAAGGACATATGTGTTCCTGGCCTGACTGCACCAGTTCCTGAGTTTGAAGAAAGGGGTTCCTCTGACTCCCAGAGACGGCCTGGGATCTGCACCCCGCCCCCTGCCTCTGGCACGGCTCCCCCTCCCATATGTTGCCTGCTCCTGTTTGCAGACACCAGGGCCCACGTCAGCAAATGTGCCAGTCTCCCTTCACAGCCTCCTCCGCAGGGATCTCACCAGCAACGCGTCAGCACCCACAAACCCCTCCCGCCTGCCCTGGCGCTCTCCCTGGCCTTCAGAAGCCTGGCCGCCAGCCTGCCTCCGACTCTAGGTCCTAGAGTTCTTTCTAGAATCAAAGGAAGGAACACTGTCTCTCTGTTCCTGCTTCTGTCTCAACTCATAGACTCCTTATTCCAATTTGGATTTGGATCCAGCTCCCATGTTTCCTGAGATGAGTCTGTGGCTTTGAGTCTTCCTGACCTGGGGCCAGGCCCCCTGGGTCAAGTGTAGGCCCCTCAGCAGCTCCCAGCTCCCAGCTCTTTGCCCTGAGAGTACATTTCTCTGCTTCCAGGCACAGTGCTTCACATTCGGGGTCCCTGTCCCTTTGTCTGCTAGGGCCTTTCTCCTTGACCCTCCAGAGCCCCCTTTGCCCACTTGACCCTCTTCTCTCTCTTCTGTCCCTGTTCTCTGTGGCCTTGATTCTCCTGTCCCCTGGCACCCCTTTCTCCTCCTTGGCTTCCTTGCCTGCTTATACTCTGTTCTTTCTTTGCAGGTTTCCCAGTTTGTGGCGTTTGAGGAGCTTCCCCCTGGAGCCCCAGAGCTCCCCCAAGATGGCCCCACTCGACGCCTCTCCCTGCCTGGCCAGCTGGGGGCCCTCACCTCCCAGCCTCTGCACAGACACGGCTCAGACCCGGGCAGTTAGTGAGGCTGCCTGGTGTGGACATGTGGCTCACCCAGGGTTCTGCGCACTGCCTGGCTGCTCCCCTCGGAGGCCCTGCCCAGGAGGCCCTGGCCGTGGAGGGAAGACTAGTGAAGGAGCAGCTCCTCCCCCGCCCTTGGGACCATCTTCTCCTGCAGTCCCCTTGGCCCCATTGGGAGGGGCAGGGCAGGGCCGGGCAGTGGACGGGGGGTCTGTGGTCCCCTCACTGCCCTGGGGGCATTAGCTGGTCTAACTGCCCGGAGGCACCCGGCCCTGGGCCTTAGGCACCTCAAGGACTTTTCTGCTATTTACTGCTCTTATTGTTAAGGATAATAATTAAGGATCATATGAATAATTAATGAAGATGCTGATGACTATGAATAATAAATAATTATCCTGAGGCAACTCGGTGGTTCTGGGAGGGTGCAGCCTGCACCTGCTGTGTTCCCTGTTCAAGTTCTGGGTGCAGAGATCCAGGTCTGCCAGGGCACCGAGGTCTGCAGGGCCACCCACATATTTGGGGTGGTGTTTGCCATGGAGGATCCTCCCTGGGGGTTCACACAGCCTATCCTCAGGGCTTCCCATGTGGCCCAGATTCAAGGTAGCAAAGAACCAGGTGGCCTCTTTGGGTTTAGATGTGTCGTGGTGGTCTGCTTCCCACACTGGTCCAGCCCCTTAGTTGGGGGCACACTGACTACCAATGCTGGCCCACACTGAGGCCACCAGTGTACACTTATCCACTTACAGAGGCCATCAAGCACTCTTGTCCCCCTTACATTGTCCTAACTTGGGACTTTCTTTAGCCTGAATGTGGCCTCTACCTCAACCCTCAATTTGGCCTCATCTTTCATTTTTAAAAAGATTTTGAGACAGTGTGTTCCTATGTAGTCCACTTTGGCCTTGAACTCACTCTGTATCCCTGGTTGGCTTTGAACTCTCAGTGATCCTCTTCCTCAGACTCCCAGATGCTGGGATTACAGGTGTGTATCCCTGTACCTGGCCAGGCCTTATCTTGACCTATATAATTCGGCCTCCCATGAATCCAGCTGTGGACACACTGGCTTCCTTATCCCTGTGTAGAGCTTACCTGCACGTGGCTCCAGAGGGACCTCACCTTGATCATTGTAGCCACTTGTGACCCCCATAAGCAGCTCACCCAAGCCTCCCAGGGTGGTGGGTGTGGCTGTGAGTGTGGGAGGGGCCTGCCTGTGTGGCCGAGTGTTTGTGTCTGTGTTGGTGGGCTGTGGACTGTGCACTGAGAAGTCTGATCTTGGCCCAGGGTTGATGGTGAGCAGTGCAGGTACACACTAGGCTCAGTGCCCTTAGCACACTGGGTTCCCCATGCCCTGACACTGTCACATCTTTGTTACTGTCTGCCCTCATCCTTATCATGTCCTTGTCCTGGAAGCTCAGCTTCATCCGCACCTCTCAGGGTCCAGGAGTTCGGGGCCTGGATACTTGCCCTCCCTGAGGCTTTGTGTTGGCGTGGCACTGGTTATTTATTTGGGGTACACTAGAGCAATGCAGCTGCCTGCCATTAGACAGGCAGGCCCACCCTGAGGCCTGGTATGCACTTTGGTACTTACAGGGAGTGAATGTGGAGTGTGCATGTGTGTGAGCATGTGTGCCCAGGATGGGGACAGGGTCAGCTGCAGGAAGGCTGAACACTGGTCCCCCATTGAAGCACACAGCTGCCTAGGGGTCAGTTGTTCAGCCTGGACAGAGCCCCCACCGATGTGGCCTGTGCGGGGTCCCTGCCAGGAGCTGCCTGCCATGGTTGGAGTGTGGGGAGGAGACAGTCATAGTGGCTCCATCTGTCAGGTGTTACCAGCTGCCACACTGCAACTGCTCTGTAGCATTAATGGCTGCAGAAGAGGGGACCATGAGCCCATGTTGAAGCTGGGCTGAGTAGAGCCTGTGACTGGCCTGCACCTGCACTGTGCTGGCAGATGTCAGGTGTATCTGACTCCTGTGTTCCTCCCTGCTGCTCCTGTGCCTGCTTGGCTTGGTGTTCAGACTATTGTCACCTGGGCTGGAGCTGCCCACCCCAGCCTTTTCCTTTTACCCCAGCTCCTGGAGCCACATGGGGGGAGGGTGGGGAAGCTATGGGACTTCCTGCAGGGTGGGTGCCTGCCTGCTGGGGCACTGTCATCCAGATCTGAGGCTTCTCCCAAACCAAGAGAGGAGCTGGAAGGGGCTGTGGCAGGCAAGGAAAGGGATCCACGTGGCTGCCAACTCCTGGAGGAAGCCTGGAGTGGTGCCTGGAGCTAGCTGTCTCACAGCCAGGATTGGGAGCTGGAAGCGATGGAGCAGGGCCTGCTGCCTCCCCAAAAACCACCTCTGTACTCAGTGCGACCCACTCTGTGATACAGCCACTTCTGCCGTCCAGGTGCAAGCTCCCCTAGCACCTGGACTTTCCTGGACTCCCATTGCTGCACAGCCAGGCAGCAGCCACTCTCACATTTCACTGACAAATAATGCAAATGACATTCTGAGCATAGCCTCTGTGGCAGCCAGAGCCCAAGAGGCGTTTTGCACTTCTGAGCCTCTTTTGTGATAAGCAGGTACGGGGTTGCACCCCAGGGATGCCCCCTAAGGACTCAAATGTGGTCACATCTTCACCCTGTGCTGTTGGCTCAAGGCAGTCATAGAAATAGTCCTTGCCCTGAGTTACAAGGGCAGATCTTACTTGGTGCCCTCTGGGGCTGGAACTCTTGGGTGGGCATCTTAAGGCTCAGCTGGATGCTTGTGATGGCCAGGGCTGAGCTCAACACAGGTGCCACATCACTAGCCTGGCCACACCATCCAGGGAAGCCCCTGCAGCCTGGTTACCCTCCTGCCCATGTTGCAGGAACAGATGGACTGGAGCATGTTCAGTCCTGAAGAGATGGGTGGTTATCTCCCTTGCCTGGTTCAGGGATTCTCTCCTTCCTTCCCAGACTTACTGCCCTTCTCTCTCCTCTGCCTGCACCCTCCACTCTGCCCCAGGAGCTTCTGTTCTGCTCACTGTGCTTTCATGCTCCTTGAATTGGCCTGGTCCTTCCTCCTCCTTGCAATGCCAGGTCCCTCCCATTGGCCTGGAGAGACCCTTTTCAGTTCTGCGCAGATGTCATGCATGCCTGACCACTTCTCCTGGCCTCTCCATTCTCCTCTCACTGCACCTGGATCACAACTTTATGCTGGTCCTTATGACATCTTGCCATATTCTCGTCTGTCTTCCAAAAAGGGCAAAGGCTGAGGCTCTCTTACCTCTGCACCTAATGCAGTGCCTGGTACCTATAAGGCCACCAGGAAATCCATCCATGAAGCCCTGGTGGGTGAGTTTTGCATGGAATGGAGAGATGTCCCTTGGGCAGACCCAGATAAGCTAAAACTTACTGCTGTCCTGGAGCTTACCTTCCTTCTGAGGTTTGGCTCCTTGATTGTGGCTTCATCTCCTGGGCCACATGCCCAAGGGAGTCCAGGCCCCAACTCTTCATTACCAAGTGCAGATACAAATGCTTGTCTTATTATTTTTTATTTATTATTATTTTTTGTACTGGGGATCAAACTCAGGTCCTTCCACTTGCGAGGCAGTGTCTTATTATTTATTCATACTGTAATATAACTAAGGCACGCTGGCATTTTAAGAACATCCTGATTAACTCTTTGAAAGAAAATGAGGGGAGATGTGCTGCTGCAAAGCCTGGAGCTGTTTGTTTGTTTGTTTTTTATTTTTGGTACCAGGATTGAACTTGGGACCTTATACTTGCAAGGCAGGCATGGTGCCACTAAGCTAAATCCCCAGCCCTAGAGCTGGTTTTATAAAATGCACATTATCTTCACTGCCTTGGCCTGGTGCCTCCTGGGCTCCATCTTCTTCCTGGGCTCTGAGGAACTCCGTGGAGGGGCTGGGGTGTCTCTGTGGCACTTTGCTGAGTGTCTTCTCCCAGTTTCTAGGTTCCAGGTAGACCACATGGAGGTCTCTAGCTCAGTGTCTTATGGGGAGCTCACTTGTCTTTGATGGTCAAGGCTGAGAGAGATTACACCTTTGGGTTTGCAGAGCCAGCATCAGGGCTGTGGGGCCACCTTGCTCCTTGGGAGTGGAGTCTTATGGGCCCCGAGAGTCAGTCAGCCTTGCACTGCCTTCCAGGGAGCAGTTGTGTCTCCTGGGTCCTGGTGACCAATAAGACAGGACCCCTCTGGGTGGACATACTGCTCAGGCCAGTCTGTCTCAGGTGTTCAAAATAGTGAGAGAAATCTGAAGTTCAAGGCCTTCCAAGGGCACTATCTTGAGGCATTTTCAGACAACTGTATAACATAAGAATGGTTCATATGAAAAGTCATGATTTAGTAATTTTCTTCAAAGTGCTTATACACATGATATTAAGGAATGAAACTTGTTTTTAATCTTATTGCAGTAGCACTGAAAATAAAGTGATTTTTTCCAAATTATGTTTTAAGTCTAAATACAGTTCAAGCTCTTTTTTTGTCTTTAATGTTTGTTAAAAAAACAAAACAAAACAAAAGAATGCATCCTGAGACATTTGTTTAAATAATCAGCTTCATTATTTTACGATCACACCTTATAAGTGAGTTGGAAGTCTGCAAGAGTCATTGCTAAGAAACCAGAACAGGAATTCATCACGGTTGTCTTGCCATTATTTTAAAATTAGCAGTAGCATAAGGTCTGGCTGCAAAAGACTTAGCACTAACTGGCAAGGAAGCCAGTCTCTGGGGAAACAGTCTGGAGAAGATCTCTCAACAACGTGACCATATGTAACTCCAGTGCTGCCTTTCTTGGTCCACCAGGTTACAACAGCCAGAGAAGCAATGCTTACTGATTAGGGACACTGGGGAAGGTCAAATTTGGCCAGTCTGGTAGTCTTGAGCCACTCAGGGTAATGGAACTCTTACATGAGAAAGTAGCCATCAAGTATTTCATTTAATGGTGTTATGGTTCAGATCTGGGATGTACCCCCCAAAGCCTCATGTGTTTGGAGGGTAACTGGATCACAGCGATGCTATACTTATCAATGGATGAATTCACTGATGAGTGTATAGCTGACTTGCTGTTCAGAGGCGGGGCCCGAGTAGAAATGGGTCACTAGGGTCATGACCTGGAAGAAATATCTCCCTTCCCAGATCCTCCCTACTCTCTCTGCTTCCTGGCTGCTGTGACCTGAGCTGCTTTCTTCTACAGAAGGCCCTTCCACCATGCTGTTTTTGCCTTTGAGCCTACCAGCCATTGACTGAACTTCTGAAACTGTGAGCCAACATAAGCCTCTCCTTTAAATTGTAGTTGTCAGGTATTTTGTCCCAGTGACAAGAAAGCACCTAAGGCTAATGCTGCCTGGAGCATCCAGAACTAGGACTGTTCCACAGGGAAGTTTGCTTTATGTAGGGCTCCAAGTGACCGTAAAAGAAAATCATTCTTTAAA